AGCGTTGCAGGCCCACCTCGAAGCACAACAGAAACCAAAAATAATAAAAGGAACAAAAAATGGAGTTGTCCAAATGTCAGTGGGACAGGTTCCTCCTTGCCGACGACACAGACACACACACCGACACAGACACACTCATAAATACTTATTCTAACTTGCTTGTCTGTTGTCTTCGCGTGAACATTTCACACCGCACCGCATTGCATTCACTTTTTACACACTTTTTGCTATTTATTTGATTCCAGGGTCGTCTTATTCAACACGACATGGCGCCAGGCTCGGTGTCCCGTGTCCTGCCGTGTTGTCCTTTGTTTCGCATCTTTCAATGTTGGAATACTGCAGACACGCAAAAACAACAATTTATAACTATTATCTAGTCTTGCATTTATAAAGCCACATACATATAGAGATACATAAGTAGTCATAAGTACGGGAACTGTGCGAGGTTTCTACAATGAGAAGGTGTGAGGACTGCGAGCAAGTGAGGTTAAGTTGAACAAACTATGTGGCTACAGAATTGTGCAAAATTGCATTCTTCAAACTGCACTTACAAGTCCTTTGGATGGAATTGAGCTGAAATGAATATAAATTTAGGATTATTGAAATGAAAATATTTGATTTCGAGGTAAGGGTAGACACTTCTGATTCTAGTCATGACATACAGAATTACTATGTCTCAAAACCAGGAAGGTCAACCTGTGTCATATCCATTTTTAAAAATTTGATATTTTTTATGCTGCCATATTACGCCCGAGTACCCTAAGCCAGGGCATAGCTCATCGAGCTACTAGCAGGAATTCCACAATGTGAATTCGTAGCTGAGTAGGCAGCTTGACGAAGCTATCAAAGCTATCATAAAATTTAATCATTGTCCAACCCAGGACAGATCTTAAAAAAGATTAAAGATTTCCAAAAACCAATACAAAACCTGTTCTTGAGGGAAAAGAAAGACTGCATGTAGTTCACAAAATGTCTGAACTCAAATTGTGCCAAAACAAAAACAACACTGCCAAGGGCGTACTTTAACACTGCGACTGCGTAAAATAATTGATATCATTATTGTGTAGAGGTGCAGAAATATTGATAGTCGGGCCCTCGATAGTTAACGATAGTTTTTTTTTGAAACCATCAATAGTTCTATTGATAGTATTTGATAATATGTTGATTTGAGCAAATATGTTTAAAAATTAAAAAAAGTATTATTTCTTTGATGTATGTGTCATTTCGATAGATCAATTTGAAAGGAAGTTTCAGTTATATGTTGCTGCTTTGGCTCAACTCTGTACTGCATATATGAAGGTAAAGAACGTAAAATCGATCAACATTTTTTGGTTTTTTTTTCTACAAATATGTATAGAGTATTTCAAAGTCGGGACACTTGGGGTTAGCAGTTTCCTTTAGACGAGTCTGAAATAATTTGCCCGTACCTGTTGTTGTTGGTTTTTGGTCCAAATCTGTGTTGCACACATACACGACACACATACATAGATACAATATTGAGGTAATTTTTTTCTTTTAAAACTGAACGACTCTATGAACGTGTTGTGTATTTTTAAATTGATTGTGCCATTTTATTAAATTAATTTAGTTTTATTAAAAAAAAATTAACTATTAAACTAAAAAAATAATCAAACATAAAAATATTTATTTTTTTGGGTTTAATTTTAAAAAATCTTTTACGGAAAATAAGTTTTTTTTTGGGTTTAATTTAAAAAAAAAATGAAGTTCAATCACGAGGTCAATATAATACAGCTACATATATTGTGTTCTTTGTTCAGGAAAAACCATCTACAACTATTTAGTTCTCAAGCTCAACTTTGTAGTTCTATTACTATGGTTCTAGAAGTTAGGTCGGGAAAAATATATTAAAAAATTTTAATTTTCAATGTTCACAATAACTTAAGCCTGAAAAATACGTTTCTAATTTTGAAAACTAATATTTAAATATTAAAAAGAATTGCGAACTCAAATCAAATTATTGTGCTTAAACATGAACATTTAAAATGATTTTGAAATTTTATATGCCGTTGGATACGCAATCAAACGATATATTAAAAAATGTGAACTCCACAGATAATGCTAGTACAGGATCCTTCCCAGAATTAAAAAAGTCCCGGGTTGCTCAACTTATTTAAAATCTCAAATGCAAATTCAGAAAACCTTTCAATGGACAGATGGTCGATAAGATGAAAACTAGCTATGATATTAGTGTAGTGTGCTTCCTCCACTACATGGATTGCCCTCCATGGTGATATGGCGAAATTTAAACATGACATAAATTGTATTATGTCAGCAATTGAAAGTAATTAACAACTTTCCTTTTATTTAAATACATTACACCGATTTATAAGAATCTCTTGACTGGAACATTTTTAGGATAAATTTATTTAAATTCATGGTTAAATATTACATTTCATTAAATGTAGTTATGTGAATAAATATATTGTATAAAAAAGCTGGCAGCGTTTGTTAGGCGCCGTACTGCTTGGCTTGAACTGCTTGATTCTCAACTACGATGACAACAACGGCGCAGGCGCACTGTTAGCATACGAGGCCTGTTAAAAAACCTGTACAGCGCAACAGCATACATGTTTGATGTACGTAACAGCCCTGGTTGCGTATGTTAAACGTGCAGCAGTGGAAGAACTGTTAATGCTCATTCACATTTACAAACAAAATCTGTTTTAATTGACAAGAGCTTTTAACATTTCTGTTATCAATAATAAGAAAGAGTTTTAGGCTTACTCAATGATAGCTGTGCCAAGTAATATCAATTTCATCATAATTGTGGGCGCGCAATGAGCATTAGAATAAAAATACTCTAGATAAGTATTTCATTTGATGATTTGCAAAATTTCACATACTGTAGTTTAACCCTTTCCCAGCCTACTTGTGATTCATCAGCATCACTGACACAGTTTGCGGTAAACAAAATAGCTGAGTTCTGTTGAGTTTTTGCATGTGTGCGTGTGTGTGTGTGTGTGTTTATGTTTGTGTGGTATGTTCAGAATGTATGATAAGCGCTGCTACCGAATTCCGTGTATCGAAAAACACTTCATTCATGGCAAGTTTTTGGTTTCTAATTGAAATGACTTGTTTTCTCCACAGCGCGTAAGTTCATGGGCATTGGGAGAAGCCTCTAGTAACTACATACATACATATTTATGTAGATAGCTGTGTTTGTGTGTGTGTATTTAGCTCGGCACTTAGAGTTAATTGAAAATTGCTACAAGACCAAAGTCCACAGATATTTCGGGTACTTTTTCCATATGTGTGTGGCAGGTGTTGCATGTCTAGGTGTTAATTAAGGTACTTGGGTTTTATTAGTATATCATGCAAATGCTGTTAGATAAGTAGCTGAAGAAATAATCATATTTTTTGCGGCTTATTCCTTGTTGCAATATCAAAGGGGTGTGAAACCCCGTCGTCTTGTTAAGGTCTTACAAATATTTTTCTTAACGTAATATCGACTTATGTATGTTCTGTTGTATAGAATTTCGTAATCGCTTTTTCGGCACGTTGCCAACGACTTGATTAACGCTTATGCTGTTTCCAAATCGATTAAATCAAGGGCCTGCTGCCGGCAAACTGGACCTTGCACAATGATTAAATTGGTATGGCTGATAGATTGGATTGCTGGCTAGAGTGGCTATATTATTTTATAATATGTAGTATTAAATTAATGTATTTACGGAATGTCTTTAATGTAATAAAAAAAAATTCATATACACAATTTCATTACATTTGTGGGACATTTAAAACTTGTTAATATTTAAATATTAACTCCCGGTTGAGTTTCACAAAAATGTATAAGTATTTTAGAAGAAAAATTATGTTATTATTCAATTCATTTTCAAAATCTATTAAGTGGAACAGAAAAAAAAAACACTTTTATGCATTTTTTAGGCCGTTTAACCATTTTAAAAATATAAGAACTTTTTGTTTTGAATTACTGTTAAGCCTCTGTCCACCAAATCAATGTTCCTCCCAAAGGGCGTTCAAGTACATTCATACTTCGATAGATTCAAAATATGTCAGTTCAGTTCTTACATTCGACATGTTATCTTAATGTCATGTTCATACCAGAAATCTGCACCCAAATTACTAAGAGCCATATATTGCACATACATACTCGTACATACATACATACATGCCTAGGCCAAAAACGAAACAAAGTGAAAAATTGAAAAGCAAAAACAAAACAAACTGTAAATGCGCCGCTGTGCTGCTGCTTGCTGCCCTCTATCAGTCCAACTCATACACATACACACTCGAACACATGAACACTCAAACATTCGCGCACAGCGCACTCACACATCAAGCGCGCACAACAGCGGCGGCGGCGAACCAGCGACGAACGATTCTCGGCCTTATTCAGTTTCGTAGCACATTTCGTCGGTTTAAGATCGTTTTCAGCGGTGAACGGATCGAAAACAAAACACAGCACAGAAAAAGTTTCAATACAAAACAACAGCAGGAAACGTGTTAACCACTTTTGGATAAATTAACAAATAAAAGGCAGAAATATTTAAAAATGCCACAAAGGGAAATGCAAGAAAAATATTAATAAGTGAAAAGTGCACGATAAACGCAAATCCATTGCATTTGTTTAGCAACTGATTTTGTTCTAAAAATCGACTTAAAAAATTAACACCAGTTACAAAAAATGCGTTATATGAGAAATATGTGAGCACCAGTGCTAAATCCAAAATACTAAGTAAGAAAATAAACATCAACAACGAATATTTTGTTCAACCGAAGGAGCAAAAATCAAAATCGAATACAAATTGTGGTGTGCAATACAACAAATTGTTATTAATACTATTTTACACATATCACAGTAGAAAAAAATCAAAAGCCACAAAAATCAAAAACAACAACTACAAGAGTGCGTTATAAAAAGTAAAGAAAAATTAAATTGTAATTAAAGCTCGGCTTTTGTTGCATTTATTTTGCGGTGTAATTTTTTTTGCTTACGAGGCGCATTTGATCTATATAAATAATTATTATTTATGTACATTTATTTTGGATTTTTCGTTGTTCGCCGTTGCATTTCGTCACTAATGTACGAGTCCAGTCGGCATCACGCACAATCGCATGTTGGATTATAATTCATACCCTTAAATTTGGGGGCTACAATGCGGCCAGAAATATACGATGTAAGTAAAGTTGTTAACGAATAATTTCAATTGGTGTCGACTATTAATTTTTTGTGCACTAATAAGAAGAAGCCACATTTACGTGGACAGGCAGTATTTTTTATTTTATTTCAATAAGTTGATTTGTATTGATTTTCATTGCAAAAAATTTGGGTTAAAGTGAAACAAATACTTAGTTAAACAATGGTCATTTAAATAATGAAAAATTATAAATAATAACTACTTATGTAGAACGTTTTCACTTGAACAAAGAGGCTGAAAAAGGAATTAATATTTATTTTGTTTTAATTTGCTGGTAAGCTACCAGGATTTAAAAAAATAAATCAAAAACCTACGAGTTAGTTACTTAAAACTGTTCATAAAATCGTAAAGCGTTCAAAAGACCATTTCAAAACATTTTTTATCATTTGTGAAAGCGGCAAACAATTGATTTTAAAGGGGACATTAATATGAGTTAAATAAGTTCAGAAGCAAAGTGAAATAGGTTGTACCGTACTGGTATAATGTCATTAACAGTTATTTTTAGAGTATGTCCAACCACGTGTAGCAAAGAAATAATTGGAAAACATAATAAAAAATAACACGCCACTTTGCCGAAACAAGAAAAAAGGCGCAAAGCCTTGTGGCCACTTCCATGACCTGTGTAGCCTCTTTCTATACACACACACACACACACACGCACACAAATATAGAAATGTAGCATGCATATGGATGTGTGTATGTAGCCCTGTATTTATCATGCAAAAGTAAATTCATTCAAAAACAATTTTCAAAAACATTAAATGAACAATTACATATACATGTATGTATGTATATAGTGTGTTTAAAACACAAAATTCACAACAGACACAAAACATGCGAGAAGTTCGAAATATATAGTGGAAACGCCAGAAACTGGCGAGCGAGCGAACGACTTGGTAATAATTGCTATTATAACTTGCTATAGACACAAACACATGCAAAAGCTGTATGCGTGAGTACAACCCCTTTTCAAAAAAGTTTTTGCACAAAGGGTCGTCGTCGTCGTCATCATTATGCCAGTGGCGTGTTCTGATCCCAGGACATTTACCTGAGTTCCAAATCCAATTGCAGCAGCCGACACAGACGCGATAAAAATCGCACGAGAATCGCTTGGTCTACTCATGGCAACGGCATGCGACACAGCCGCCCCACAAACCAAGCCAAATATCATAAAGCAATTGCATCGTATAATGCCCAATATAAATAAGACATTAATGTCGCTAATACAGGCACTAATTGTGCTTAATCTCTCTCACGCTTTTCACTTGGGCCGGGCCGGGCCGGGGTGGTCATAAAAGCGCCGCAAAGAAAAGAATTTCTTAAGGTAAATATCACAAAAATACACTTGTGAGTGTGCCACGCCCGCTTTTGTTTTTATTATTTTCTTAAGGCGTGATAAGTGGGTTGCATAAAAATAGACAATATTTGATTTGAGTTCGTTCTATTTATTAATTAAATGGAAATAGGTGCAGATAGAGCGTTCGGGGGTTCCATAAAACGACCTGAAATTTAGCCGGCAGAGGTTATAAGTGGTTTCATGATAGATAAGTGGCTTAGTGGCTTAAAGTAATACGAAGGTAGGCATATTTTTGCTAGTAGCAAAGTCTAAGGTAAATGCTGACACTAAACGCTAGTGGCACTTAGGGCTTTGCTCTCCCTCTCCCCGTTTTTCTTTAAACAAGTAGCGACACAAAACGCTAGGAAACCACGCGCGTTTCTGCCAGTCTTTTATTGAAATTTATGATGGAAGATACTGCGCTCGTGAGTAAAGAAAATATTATAAATATTTATGACTGGCGCATTACATATTTGTGCAGCTTTGATTAATGCAATCGATAGACAACGGCTGGGTTGTGGGGGGATGGTTAGAGTGAGAAAGAGAGACAGGGTGTAAATGCAAATGCCAGTTATATATTCGTTTGTCATCCGACAAGCAAATGAGTTCGCAAACTTACGAATATCCAGTAAGTAGTCACCTACCCAGGGCATATGTTTCTCCGTTTCGCAATTAAAGCTCTTCAGCCTCCATCCAGCCTCAAGTCTTAAACTTCAAATGAAAAAGCCGCTGCCGCCTACAACTCAGTGGGGATAAGCCTTGACATCAACATTTTTGTTATGGTAGGTAGCCAACTTGGCGCTTCAAACATTAAAATATATCATAAAATACGAGTACCTGAAAAAGTCACATCGAGCTTTATAAATACGTTACGCGGAGAGAGGGGGCCCATGAGTGTGTATGTGGCATGATTTGTGGCTTGAAATAACTACGTTTGTTTTTGCACATTTTGTTTAGGGCGTAATTGTTGGGTAAACACATAAGTTTGTAAAACAGCACAAAAAACTGAAATAAAAAAAAGTGACGCGCGTGTTGTGAGTAAAAATAATTGGGTTATGGGGGGCTCTGGTGCCCAGCACTTGTAAAAACTGTGACGGCATACAAGGCTTTTGCTTAATCAGGCGCATTACAAACATTTATCAGAAAACCATAAAACAACGTCACCAGTTATTGGAGTCGATGCCATTGCCATCTACAACGACTACGGAGTTCGGCTGGAGCTTTCAAATGTCACGTTTCGCCTTACAAAGTGCGTTGGTGTTTTATATATGTACATATGTATGAAACATATACTCACAAATGTATACATATCTTCTGCTTGGGGCTTAGTCACTGGTGCAGACTTAATTGAAAATATGAACACACGCTTAAGTGGATAGCTTGCCAGTGTCATTGTCATCAGCGTTTGAAATGTAACCGTTTGAAGAGCATAATTTAGCAAGGATTCGGCCACTACCTTTCCCCAAATAACACATTCCACATAATCCATTATGCTTGTATAATACGCCTAACCCAAAAAAAAATATTTAAGTGGCCTGTGATTGCGGCCACGTGCGATTTTTGGACACGGCAACAAATCGTTGGAAATCAGCTGCCAAACCGACGTTCATCAATCATGTAATCGCTTCGTAATAATTACTGCAGTCCACCCCTGAACCAACACAATCCACACCTCCCTCCCTCTCTCACTCCCTCAGCCACTCACCCCTTTCCCATGCGGAAAGGGCAGGACACGTGTGCCAAGTGTGAAATGTTCATGTACTGTCGCCAATTGTGCGTATGACGATGATCATGATGAGAATGAGAATGTCGATGGATACCCTGAAGAACCCGTGCTACATTAATGTACATATGTACATACATACATATGTATGTATATGTATGTATATGTTTTTGTATTTGCCTTTCGCAAGCAACTGCACCTTAATGCAATTTTTGCCTCCTATTTGTTTTTCGTGAGTGTGTTTTTTTTTTAATTTTTTATTTAGGGGTTGCTCTTGCTGGCTTATAACTTTACGATATTTAATACGCTTATTGTAGTCGTTGTTGTTGTTGCTTTTGCGTTTGGCGTTGTTGCATCATCCACCTTGCGCTTTTCGTTGAGCTGTGCTAACAAGCGCTGCTCAACCCTAGTCGGGACTGCAACTTCACCAACACCATCACCCCTCCCCTTCTTTCGGTCGTTTTCGGTGGGTTCTTGGCTGTGCATTTTTTGTGCAGGGGTGTGCGCATTGATTAAGTCGCACTTTGGCGGAGCCCTGGCTTTGACTGTTACCAGTTAGACTATTTTGTTGCGGTTCCTGTTGTTGTGGTTCATGTTAGGAACAATGCGTTAGTTTAGCAAATTCAATCGATTCGAAATGTTTCGATATTCTCAGACAGCTTATTTAAATATTTAGGCCATATGTGTATATCAATATTGTTAACATATATTTACATATCAATCATCTGTCAATATTTAAATAAAAAATATGTTTACTCCAGGATAAAGCCAGATCAACTTCCTATATTTATGATTTATTACGCTTTTATAGTAGTTTGAAAATTATGTATTTATTCCAAATATTTGCGTTATATATCGACATATTTAATATATATAAAGACCTAATAAAACACGTAATTAATGAAATGTTTATAAATTAAAAACATAAAACCTTGCATACTTTCGGCGCGCCGGGAGGTGAACATAATTTTGGTCAAGTATGGCAACACTGTTGCCACCTGCTCAAGCCTCCACTTGAGCTTGCAATGGCAACAACGCCCCAAATATAAACAAAAACGGGCAGCTTCAAACGAGCGCACACGCTTCCAGCGACAACAGCAACAAGAACAACGACAACGACAGAGCAACTGCGCCAATAACAACAGCTACATACAACGGCAACAACAACAATAATAACAACGAACAGACAGGCGAACAAGTTCACTGTACTCCAAAGATAAGCTAATGTTGAGCGCTCGTCTACCGCCCAAGATATTGTATAAAAATTAACGAGCTCTGGGTCTGGGTAGAAGGGAAAATGTTTTGATATGCACACGTTGTCTCTAAGCCGTCAGAAAGCGCCTTTTCAAGGCAGTCGTGACGTGCCGCATCACAAAACTGAGCTCATTAGCAAGCTACGGCAACAGCAACAGCAACACAACAACAGCAACATCAGTAGCAACAGAAACCAAAACAACCGTCAGCCCAAAAGTATTTAAATCGTCTGTTGCTGCATAATTTCCAAATAGGCGTAAAATTTACACGCCTAGATTTTTGCTGAGGGGGTTGTATCTAATGCGATTTTTTTGTCGGCACGGGTGTGTGGACGGGTAAGAAAAAGGGACAGACAGCTGCAATCGCTGATAAGCCGCTATTTGAGTTATTTTTCGTGTGACTGAATGCCTGATAAGCTGCGCCTCGCTACTTAAGTGGCATCGGCCAAATACCAAAAACCAAATACTACTTTATTGTGCTAGGCTGAAATGAAAACTTTCCCATTATGTCAATATTGGCCAGGCCGAGAGGGCAGTTACACGGCCAAGTCTATGGCAAATAAGCCACTAACTGATTATCGTCGTCTCTTACTTAAACATAACAACTTTCAAGAAAGACTTCACATTTCGTTTGTAACGATTTCAAGATAAGTATTCAATAAGTGCT